GTGCTGTGTGGTATCCATGATAGGAACCAGCATTCATGTGTTCTACCTGCATTTCCCAAACATCTCCTTTGTGCCAGGTGCAGCTATCCTCTGCAGGGAACATTGCAGTGAACAGGACCAACTAAATCTCATCTTCCTTGAAATGTATAGTCTAATAAAGGGGGGGGGAGTCAGACAATAAACAAAAAAACAAGTAAATCATTTCAAGTAGTGGGAAGTGCTGTGAAAAAAATCATCAGGTTTCTCAATAAGTACATATACACCCATTTTGACTGCAGCACTATTCACAATAACCAAAAAAGTAAAACAACCCAAGTATCCAACAACTGGTGAATGGATAAACACAACATGGTCCAGCCACACACTGGAATATTACTCAGCCATGAAAAGGAGTGAAGCTCTGACACACGGTACATGTGGATGAAACTTGAAAACATGATGCTTAGTGAGAGAAGCCAGACACAAAAGGCCATGTAGTGTGTGATTCCATTTATATGAAATGTCCAGAACAGGCAAACCCACAGAGAAGGAAAGTGGATTCATGGGTGCCAGGGGCTGGGGAGGGGGATTGAGGGAGGGCTTAATGGTGATGGGATTTCCATTTAGGGTGATAAAAAAGTTCTGGAACTAGATAGTGGGGATGGTTCCACAACAATGTAATGTATTTAATGCCATTGAACTCTATACTTACTTGAAAATGGTTAAAGTGGCAAATTTTATGTTGTGTGTATTGTACCACAATTTAAATATATATATACTTAAAAAATCAGCTGGGCAATGGGATGGAGGGTGATGGAGTAGGAGGTAAAGTAGGGGGTAAAAGGCTCTCTGAAGAGATTACTTCTGAGATGACACCTGAACAATGTGAACATTTGGGGGAAGAACATTCCTGGCAGAGGGAACAGCATGTGGAAGGGTCCTGTGGTGGGAATAAACTTGATGTGTTCACAGAACAGGCAAAAACCACTGTAGTGATTAAGGCTGGAGAGAAGAAGCATAAGTTCCTACCAGTCCCTACTTGGGGTCACAGATTAGTTTCCTGGGGCTGCCATAACAAAGTACTACAAACTAGGAGGCTCAAAATCATAGAAATTTATTCTCTCGCAGTTTTGGAGACCAGGAGTCCAAAATCAAGGTGTCTGCAGGGATGGCTCCTCCTGGAGGCTGTGAGGGAGAATCCATTCCTGGCCTCTCTCCCAGCTTCTGTAAACAGTAAGCAAGAAATATGTATAGAGCCTTTCTCATGCTCCTGCACCAAGTGTTCTCGGTGCATTATCTCATTAAATGCTGAAACACCACTACTATTTTTCCATTTCGCAGGTGAGGAAACTGAGGCCGATCCAGGGCTCAAACCCACACTTCTGGTCTGATTTCAGAGGATTCACTGTTAACTCTATAGCATCATTCTACAGTCCTCTGAAGTCCTCCAGGACAAGGTCACCGCAGTGCACAACTGCAAGGAGCGCCTTTCCCTGGGTGGCACCTTGCAAACGTGCCTGAGATTTTTCTCCCCAGCACACATCCCGGTCCTTGGCACGGGACTCAATCAATAGGGAGTGGCCGGCTGAGGGACCCATGAATGGGGTCCTGAGGATTTCGTTTCCTCCCTCCTTTCCTCTTAATCCAAGGAATGAGGCCATTGGCGCCATTTATTTATTTATTTGTCCCTTGTTTTGTTTTTAAATCCGTGATGCGCCATCAGAAAATCATTTCCGCTCCTGCGGCTGGCGAGGCTCTTGGAAATGCTCCCTCCCAGCCAATGGAGAGCCCCGGATTCCGGCAGGGGGCTGTGCTTTCTGGTCAGCCCTGC